TTTTTTTTTTTTTTTTTTTAGTGTTGCTTATCATTCCCATTCCCCTAACTTCTGCCTTTTGAAATCTGCCTGTCCTTCAAAAACAGCTCAAATGCCATTTTTTCCACAAAACTTTGTTTTCTGGCTTTCTTATGGTCTTTGGCTCTGGATGGATAAAGGATTCTTTATCCCTACTGTAGGTAATAGGGAACTATTGAAAGTTGTTGCATTTAAGTGATACAAATAAAAGTGTTAAGTAGGATTAGACTGGCAGTATTATTTAAGTTATTTTAGGACTGGTGAAGATGTGGGAGCAGGGAGAGCATTTATGACCCTATGACAGAACTCCATATGTTGGGAAAGGGAAGAAAGAGGTGGATTTCGGGAAGAAAAAACAGCAGACCATAAAATAGAATCACTGAAATGGGATGAAGGAAAACACTTTACCAGATGCCTCCAGCGACTTAAGGCATGATGACTGAGATGATGTGATTATGACTGAAAATACCAGAAAGTTGCCTTAAATTTTTAACTTAAAGCTTAACAATAAATGACAATAAGTGTCAGACACTTTGTAACAACTTTCCATGTAATAATGTGTATTACGCATAAGGCTTAAGTCATTTTATGAGATTTATCTACTTTGTTTTCTCCCCCCAGTTTTATTGAGATGTAATTGACATATAACAACTGTGTTTCATAGTTTTATTATTTGGAAGAATAGCAATAACAGTCTTAAGTCTTATGATTGTGTAAAAACATAGCCTCATTTAATTAAATTTGGGGCTAAGATATCATGAGTTGATAATGTAATTCGCTACTTGTGTACTGCTAATGATTTTGAATATTAGGGTTAATTGTAAAACGAGGTTAAAGAAATAGCAAAACAAATACAAAGTTTATTTATTTGGTGCTGGTTAATATTTAATTCTGATCCTCTTTAGTTGTAAAGATGGTGAATTTAGGCGCTATCAGGGCCCACGGACTAAGAATGACTTCATAAACTTTATAAATGAAAAAGAATGGAAGAATATTGAACCTGTTTCATCATGGTTTGGTCCAGGTTCCATTCTGTAAGTATGAGGGATTTTTCTTTTATTTATTTCAGTTCTAATTGGGACAGATTATATTTCATGTAAATAAAGTATAGTTGGGTTCTTAAGTATATTCAGATTTCTTATGTGATATTTTTGATTTGACTCTGTCTTCTAAGTTAAACAGGTGCTTTGATCCTTATTAAGCTAGGAGACATTTTTTAGAATTAAGTTGAAAGCCTTTTAGGAATGTTTTAACTATAGATATGGTCATTTGTATTATCAAAAGTTAAACGATCCCCTGAAGAGTGTGAACAATGTAGTGAGTAAAGCTCTCCTTTGAGCTTCATATTTGAATGTACCTACTTGTACTTCCTTTAGGTTTTAGTTTTTGATTTAATGTGATTGAATTATTCTACCTGTCTGATAACTTTTAATTTGAATAGAAGAATGAACAATGACCCTAATGACCCTAATGGCATGACTAACCACTGAGCTTACATATAACTTGAGGGCAGCAGCTTGCTATGGAGCAGTAACGATTGGAGATAGCACTCGCATTTCATTCTGGCCGTTGGGGTGCAGTTCCTCATGGGCGATTTGAGAGACTCCAGGAGTATTATATGATGACTTACATTTGTTTCCTGTGTAATTATTTTATATATCATTAAGCTATGTCAAGCTAATGCTATTGTAAGTTTTATTTAATTTTAATTCTCAGGCAGGGAGGATCTGCTCAGTAAGTGCCCCTAGTTCTTCCTCCAGGCTCTGCTCATGAAAGGATTCTCTGCTCATTTGGAGCCATTTGCTTTACAGTATGCCTAACTGACCAGCTGGCTCCATAGAGCTTGTAACCTGTTACTCAGAGTACACTGGAGACATCATCAGATGAAAGGTGAAAGGTTAATGTCAAAGCAATGGGAGAAAGGAGAAAATAATTATTAAATGTTTTATTTATGAGGATATCACATACTAGCAACAATTCAGAAACTTAATTTTCATTAAAAGGTCTTCTTGTTATGGTCTTGAAATTAGTGCTGTATGAGTAACCTTGATTAACACCAGCAATAAAATCTGGCCTGCTGGGGAAATTACAGAGTGAAAATAGAAGATAGAGCTATACGCACGTATTCTACTTCAAAGTTGTATGTCTTCCTCAGTTTTTTAATCATCTCTCTTTTATTTCAGGATGAGTAGTATGTCAGCACTCTTTCAGCTATCTATGTGGATCAGGGTATGGGCTAAAATTTTATTTCCATATTAAACGTTTTTTGACAGTGTGATATTTTTTGAATGACCAGGTATTTGGTTATTTTTTTCTTCTGATTTTAGACTTGCCATAACTATTTTATTGAGGACCTTGGATTACCGGTATGGGGATCATATACAGTTTTTGCTTTAGCAACTCTGCTTTCAGGACTATTATTAGGACTTGTAAGTACTTTATTTTCAGAGTACTAGGAATAGAAATATTTTAAAATTTGATAATTTTACGTATTTGCACTAGCTTTTTCATATATTATACATTTGGATTTCTTATGTTTATTTTTGCAGTGTATGATATTTTTGGCAGATTGCCTTTGTCCTTCAAGAAGACGCAGACCGCAGCCATACCCTTCAAGTAAGCTTTTATTTTGTTTTTTTCTTCTTTTGGATTCTTTTATTTATTTATTCATTTTTAAAATTTATTTTTTGATTACAGTTGACATATGTATTAGTTTTAGGTGTACACGGCATAGTGGTTAGACATTTGTATACCTTACTAAGAGATCATCCTGAGAAGTCTAGTACCCATCTAACACCATAGATAGTTATCACAGTATTATTGACTGTATTCCCTGTGCTGTATTTTACATTCTCGTGACTGTTTCTTAATAACTGGCAATTTGTACTTCTTAATCCCTCCTTTCCAGCTTAGGTTTCTAAAATATGAAATGGTGGCTTATATTGGAAGGAGGAAGGGGATATATATTTTATGTAAGAATGACAGCTCAGTGGATTTTGGAATATACTTATTTTTTTGGCTTCTATAGTGTGGAGAATTTTAATATTGTGTGTAACCTGCAGATATTTAATAACATTGATATGATCAATTTATTTGAAAATTCCATGATATTCATGATAGATCCATTTGAACATACCTGAGTCAAAAAAGTTATATATTCTACTTTTGAAGTCATTCATTACTATAGTGGTCTCATTTGAAGATTTTTCTTTTTATTCTAGCCAAGCCTAAGTTTTTCTGGTAGAGACTGGGAAAAGCAGTTCCTGTAGTTGATTAAAAATTGGCATTGACATGGTGCTGCAAGTTTATATAATCAGAAGTATTCACTACTGTCTGTCTTAATATAATTACCTAGCAATCATTTATTTTCAGTCTTGAAAATTACATTTTTATGGAAACTTTCCTATTTGCTATTTGTAAAGAACTTTCACTTTCTGTCATTCCATTTGCTTTCACTTTCTGTCATTCCATTTGCTCTCTAAAGTTGACTGTGTAAAAGGAATACTCTTCCTATTTTTGTGATTGAGTAAGGGTCACGTAGAAATGACAGAGCTGAGAGTAGAACCTAGATTAGACTCTTGGACTGGCATTCCCATATGCTACCTTTCATGACTTAGGATTTATTGAGGTCAGAACTCCTGAAATGAAGTCAGTGGAGATTGCACTTAAAGTATACTTTGTTCTTTGAATAACTGATAGGTTTTTTTTTCATTTTATAGATAGTTGTATCGATACTATAAAAAGGACATGTATATAGGAGGGAATCATTATCCACCAAGGGCCACTAACCTCTAGGGGGAAAAAAAGTAAGCACAGATTATTTAAAAGAAAATTTAAAAGTTGGTGAATATATATATTTTATTTCACTTCAAAAACCTTAGCCATAACAGCAGATTTGTCTCTTAAATAATGTGTGACACAACCGATAGATATTAATTCATACTTTGTGATATTGCCCCTTCTAATAATAGGCCACATGATTTGAGTTGTTTTCCAGTATTTGTGTTTGGCTTAGACTTTGAGTTACTAGGGAAAGACCTTGGTTTATGTAGGAAGGAAATCTGAGGGCAGAGTTGATTGGATCCTGGGGCTCAAATGTTAGCATGTTATATTTCTGAATTGCTCAGTTCTACTTGCCTTTGTTTGCTACATTTTTGGCTCTTTTCATCCCTGAGCATAAAATGATTATAGCTCACAACTGCAGAGTAGGAAGGAAATACACCTTCTCCCTACCCCCATCCACTTTTGGAAAAATTCTGGTGCACTGCACTTGTGTAAAGGGCTCACTTTTTGGAACAGTCACTGTAAACCAGGGTTTCTTAACCTCGACACTATTGTCCTTTTAGGCTGTATAATTTTTAATTATGATGGGCTGTCTTTTCTATGTTGTTGGATATTCAGCATCCCATTGGTAGCCGGTAGCACCACCTGTCAGTTGTGACAATAAAAAATATCTCCAGACATTGCCACATGTTCCGTGGGAGGCAGAATCACCCTGGTAGAGAACACTGTTGTAAACTAGTGCTCAGCACCACCACAAGGGATGTACTATAGGGAAGAGGCTATTAACCAAACAGAAAGAGGAATGCCAGACACCCCAAAGAACAGGTGGTCCACTCATGCTAGTTTCTTCCCATAGTTTCCTAACTTACGCTCCTGTATTGTTTCCCCTCCATTCTGGATTGCCTGGGATTCGGGGCAGTCTATGAACACTGAAGAGAGTAAAGCTCATTGGCCTAATTCTGTGTTTTGTATCTCAGTTTAATATGGTGTGTTCTGAGTTTCAAGTTAACTAGCAACTGGCCTTATAAAAAAGAAAAAAGTATATATGTACATATTTAAAAATTCATTGAGCTGTGCACTGAAGATTTGTACATTTTATTGTTTGTAATTATACCTTCATAAAAGTACATTTGGCGTAAAGGATCACATTTATGAAACCACATGAAAAAGAAAACATGGGTAGGAATATAACCTGCAACTGTAAATGTCTGATTGCTGTTTACTTGGGAACTGAAACAAGGAGAGTGTTGAGGTTTGTTTCAGTATACTTACTAATTAGAAGATTTAATGGCAAATTAATATGACATAGTTATATTTAATACAGTATATTTTCTTAAAACATCCATATTCACAGGATTAATTCTGACTCATTAATTTCAGTTTATAAATAGGTAGATAATTATAATGAATTTGTTAAGTAAAATGGAGCTTGCAAACCAGCTTGTGTTTTTACGGTATCTCTTATTCTTGAAATAACTTTTTCCTTTTGGAAATCCAAACTTATGATTGATTAAATAAATGCCAAAGCAATTTTTATGGGCATATGAATTATATCTTGACTTTACACTAATGCAAATGTAATACATCAACAAAAAAACATTTTGTGGTCTTTATCTTTAAGAAAAATTATTACCAGAATCTTCTCAACCTTTGAAAAAAGTGGAGGAGGAACATGAGGCCGATGATGAAGACGTTTCAGAAGAGGAAGCTGAAAGGAAAGAAGGAACAAACAAAGACTCTTCTCAGAATGCCATAAGACAGCGCTCTGTGGCTCCTTCATTGGCCACAGATAAATCATAGTTAATTTTTATAAATATCTTAATATGATTTGGACAAAAACAGAAGATTAATCATTTCTTTTGGTTTGAAGTGAACTGTGACTTGTACACTGCAAGACTCAGTCTATATTGTCATTAGATTGAAAGGTCTGCCTCCAGAAAATAAAAGTATAGCACTATGTAAAATATTTGAAATAGGATATAACCACAGTAGGGTGGTTTAAACAGTTCTATAATATTTTGAAAAATCTGGTGCCAAGCAATAAGATTTGTGTATGTTTGTTTAATAATAACCTTTTTCATAATAAAATTTTTCTGAGTTGAAAAGTTATACTTCCCAATTGCATTATTGAGGTATTTAAGGAAATTACTTTAGAGAAAAAGATTTCTCATTGGATAAAATTTTTCTCAGTTTCACTATGTGAAAAAAAAAATTTCCCATAAATGGGAACTTTGCCCATTGTCTCAAAAAATAGTATTTCAGTGACAACTCTGTGGTCCTTTTAGAGATGCGGTCCAAAAATTTCCTCATATTTTTAAATTGCGCAACTAATAAAAACAACCTTATTTTAATTGGTTATTTTACACATAGATATGCTACTGATTTAGGCAGTTTTTATAAGTCCATAGTGTTGTCTGGATTCCTATAAAGGTTGGTTGCCTTGTTTGTTCCTCTGTTCAGTGTATTTTTCTTAAACACGGGTTACATTTTTTTTTTTTTAAATATATCTTTATTGATTTCAGAGAGAGGAAGGGAGAGGGAGAGAGATAGAAACATCAAGGATGAGAGAGTTGTCATTGATTGGCTGCCTCCTGCACGCCCCTGACTGGGGATTGATCCCGCAACCCGGGCATGTGCTCTGACTGGGAATCAAATCCCGATCTCCTGGGTCCTAGGTTGATGCTCAGCCACTGAGCCATGCCCGGCAAGGCATGGGTTACATTTTTCATTTTCCAAATTGGATAGTGTCCTGGAAATACTTTTCATGTTTTTATATATAGTGTTCTATTTTGATGTTGCAAACCGAAGTTTACTGAGGGATCTTTAAAATTGAAGAGCTATCTACTGATTTAAAATGTTGGTCACTCATTAGGTTTTAAATCACTCTTGTTGGACTTGTGTATTTATTTATTTTTTGCTAGTCCTCATCAAGGATATATTTCCATGGCTTTTAGATAGAGTGGAAGGGAGGGAGGAATAGGGGAATGGGGGAAGAGAGAGAAATATCAATGTGAGAGAAACATATTGGTTGTCTCCCCCACATGCTCTGACCAGGGCTGGGAATGAACCTGCAGCCCAGGTCTGTGCCCTTGACTGGAAATTAAACCTGAGACCCTTTCGTGTGTGAGCTTACGCTCTCACGGTTGAGCGCAACTTTTTTTTTATGTGAAGGTGAACATTCTTGATTTTTTTTTAATGTGGAAAAGCCTCGGTATTTTATGGTTTGAAAATTCACAGAAGCTTAATCTGATATAAAGTTAGCATTCTACTCAGGAAAAAGCATCTTTTATGTTAGTTTTCAATGTACATCTGTTCTCATATACAGAAAGTTCTTAATTGGTTTTACAAAGTCAGTGTGTGCTTGATGTTTTAAAACGTTTTTATGTGTTTGAGAAGACATACTTTGTATTCTATACTTTCTATTGTGTGGTATTTCACAAGTGGGAATCAGCAGGATGGGACATTTAATATATTTTTACTCCTTAAAGAGTTAGGATACAGTTTTTAACCTTACAGCAAGAGTGGGGTCAGTGTGGGGTAGCAATAGAGAACTATTGGCTACAAGAAGGGGAACAACCGTAAGTATTCAGAACGAATTACCTGTCTATTATATAGTAGATGATTTCTGTAACGTCCTCTCTCATCTAGATTCTGCGTCTGTCTGAGATCATTAGACGTACAGTTTTGTAATGTACAACAGTTTTCCTTAAAGGCCTTGTCTTTAGAATATAAAGTATTCTACCACTGAAGAGTTTGGATGTGTAGTAATTTTGTGATGCTTCTAGAAAAATATTCTAAGTACAAAATAAACTTTTCTAAGCCTTCACTAAAGCTGAAGATGTGTGATTTCTAGTTGCATATTTAGAAATGCTTAATTTGTGTTGAACAATGTTCAAATGAATAGTTGTGTCACTGTACTTGATATGTTGGTCATACACATCTTTTTCTCTTACCTGAACAAACAATAGAGGAAAATAGTTCTAAATCAAACATTCTAGTTTCTAGTATACATAAAATTATAAATTTCAAGTTTTTATGTAATTAGAATATATCTATACAGAAAATTAAAAGTAGGCTGAATAGGTAGAGACTTGATATTTCAGAAAACATCTTGCAGTTCTTTAGGACTGTCACTGTAGACATCTGACTAATCCATTTTCTGTCACATTAGAGGCTCACAGAAATGACATGGAATCGTTTTATCTTTTAACAGACTGCATTTGTTTCCATTATTGGTTTAAGGGGGCTTAACATGGCATCTTAGATACAGATCACTTAGGGAAGAAGGTGCAGTACCAGCATCCTGGAGAACTCTGTGGCTCCCCCCTCCCTGCCCCAATCACCCAATAATCATTCAGCTCCATCTTATAAATCTGATCCCTCCAATGGAAATGCAGCGTTCTACCACATACTACCTAAATAATCAGAAAGACTGACAAAAGTTTCAATGATGATTCCTGAGTTTATGATAATAGCTACCATTCATTGATTGATTACCTATTGGACTTAGGTAGGTTACTATAATAATTCATTTAGTCTCAACTACGTTTGATAGGTATTACACATCTTTCAGGTGAACAGGCTCAGCTATGGCAGAAATAGGTACAATTTGAATCCTGTTTTTATTTCAAATCTTGTGATGTTTTTGAGTATGAATACTGAAAATTCAGCAACCTGTATGTTAAATTAGAATGTAAATTTTAATACTTAAAATTTCACTCGCCTGAATAGTGGAACAAATACTATTCAGAAATATCAGAATGCAGTATTTGTAGTCTTGTGATTTTGGGTACCACATAAAGAATCAAGGTTATTGAAGTAAGTGATGCTTTTGGAAACAATTTTTTCTCAAGTCCGTTGTCTCTCTGTTCAGCCCAGTGTATAAAAGGCATAGTTCTAGACTTATGTTATGATGAAATTAACATTTTTGAACATTGTAACTCACTTTAGGGTTATTTAGGATATTCTGATTCATAGTTTAAGGTAGAGTTCTTTCAGTTAGTTTTATTCCAGCTTTATATAAGGCAGATTAATTCTAATGCGAATCTTTTATTAATACGATAATTGATTTGGAATGGAATTTAAATGAGTGGTCCTACTGAGTAATTGTACAATTCTATGAGTAAAATTTTAGATTAAATATTCTACTTGATTTAAATAATGTCTATTTGACTCATTAATTAGAAATGGTGATAATATCAGTATTTTGGCTGTGAATGATATCAGCGTCATGTCCCTTCTTTTTACCCCTTTGGCTGTATGTAACATTACTTTCAAACTTGTTTTCATTGTGCCATCACAACTCAGACTGGTTGAAAAATGAAAATAGAAGAAGTCAGGTTTTTTTGGTTTTTTAAAAAATATATTTTTAATTTATCTTTATTGTTGAAAGTATTACAGGTGTCCCAATTTCCCCCCCCAATTGACCCCTCCACCACACTCCCGCCCCCTCCCCAGGCCTTCACCTTGTTATTGTCTGTGTCCATGGGTTATGCATATATGCATATAACTTCTTTGGTTAATCTCTTTCCACCCTCCACCCCCCTTCCCTCTTCCCTCTGAAATATGATCGTCTGTTGCATGCGTCAGTGTCTCTGGATCTGTTTAGTTTGTCAGATTCTTTTGTTCATTAGCTTCTTAAAGAAGACCCTTCAACATTTCCTGTAGTGCTGGTCTGGTGGTGATGACCTCCTTTAGCTTTTTCTTATCTGTGAGGCTCTTTATCTGACCTTCAGTTCTAAATGATAGCTTTGCTGGGTAGAGTAATCTTGGTTGTAGTTTCATGTTTTCATCACCTTGAATATTTGTTGCCATCCCCTTCTGGCCTGCAAAGTTTCTGTTGAGAAATCAGCTGATAGTCATATGGATGCTTCCTTGTAGGTAACTAACTGCTTTTCTCTTGCTGCTTTTAAGATTCTCTCTTTGTCTTTACCCTTTGGCATTTTAATCATGATGTGTCTTGCTGTGGGCCTCTTTGGGACCCTCTGTGCTTCCTGGACTTGTAAGTCTTGTTTCTTTACCAGTTAGGGGAAGTTTTCTGTAATTATTTTTTCAAATAGATTTTCAATTTCTTGCTTTTTCTTCTCCCGGAACCCCAATAATACGAATGTTGGGCCTCTTGAAGTTGTCCCAGAGACTCCTTATACTATCTTCATATTTCTGGATTCTTTTTTCTTTTTGCTCTTCTGGTTGGGTGTTTTTTGTTTCCTCATGTTCCAAATTGCTGATTTGATTCTCAGCGTTCTCTGCTCTACTGTTGATTCCCTGTAAATTATTCTTCATTTCAGTTCGTGTAGCCTTCATTTCTGATAGGTACTTTATTATGTCGTCAGTGGTCTCACTTGTTTTCTTAATAGTCTTACTAAGATCCTTGAGTATCCTTATAACCATAATTATGAACTCTGTATCTAGTAGCTTGCTTGGTTCTATTTCATTTAGTTCCTCTTCTAGAGATTTCTTCTGTTCTTTCCTTTGTGACATGTTTCTTTGCCTCCACATTTTGGCTGCTTCCAGGTGTTTGTTTCTATGTATTAGGTGGAGCTGCTGTGTCTTCTGGAATTTGTAGAGTGGCTTTGTGTAGTAGGTGTCCTGTAGGGTCCAGTGGCTCAGCCTCCCCAGTCACCTGAGCTGGGCCTTCTAGGTGCTCCCCTGTGTGGGCTGTGTGCACTATCCTATTGTAGTTGAGTCTTGGTTGCTGTTGGTGTCACTGGGAGGAATTGACCCCCAGGCCAATCAGCTGTGAGGACCAGCTGCAACTATAGCCACAGAGCTGCTGTTCTGGAGACACCCCTATGGATCTGGATTTACTTCAGTGGAGCTTTGGTGTTCAAGTGTGCCCCTTGAGTGTGTCACTCGTGGATGTGGTAGGGTTGTAATCCAGCGTGGTCAAGTCTGACCACCAGGGGCACTGTCTCTGGGGCCTCCCTGGAGGTGCAAAGTCAGCCTCTGCCAGTGCCTTGCCCAGGGCCACCCAGCATGAGCTACACAGCAAACCGTAGTTGGCTGCTGCTTGTGCTGGGCTTGGAGGTGTCCAGGAGAGGCCAAGCTATGAGCCAGTGCAGGCTGCCGCTAGTGCCAGGCC